TGATGGGAACGTGAAGGGGTGATGGAAATGCGAGGAGATTATGTGAGCATGAAGGGGTGATGGGAGCTGAAGGGGTGAGTGTGAAAGGCAGCGGTTCATGTCGAGACAGGCACGGTGAAGACAACTGGCCTGGTTTAAACCATCGGTTTCGGGCAGCGGCTCCAGCCAGGGCTGCCTGCAGCCAGCGTGCTCAGACTCTTATCCCGTCGTGTTTGGGGGCCGGGATGCGAGCAGAGGCCCTGGGTGCGCTGCCCCCGCTCCATCCCCGGACCCCCGCTCCATCCCCGGACCCCCGCTCCATCCCCGGACCCCGTTCTCCCGGCAGCGCCGGCTCCGCTCCCCGCAGCGCCGGGGCCGGGGCCGCCTCCGGAGCGGGGCGGGGCGGGGGCCCCCCCCCCCCCCCCCCCCCCCCCCGTCCCCCCCCCGGGGCGGGCCCGCGCGCCCCCCCCCCCCCCCCCCCCCCCCGCCGCTGTCACCGCTCGGGGCCGGCCCAGCGCCCTCCCCTCGGCTCAGCCCGGCCGGGGCGGCGGCGGCGGAGACGGGCGAAGCGGAGCGGAGCGGGGAGCGCAGCCGGGAGCGGAGCGAGGGAGCGCGGAAGGAAGGGAGGAAGGAAGGAGGAGGAGGAGGAGGAGGAAGAGGAAGAAGAAGAGCAGCGGGAGGAGGCAGGCAGCGCCGGTCGCGCTGCCCCGGGAGCTCCGCTCCGCTCTCGGCGGGGCTCAGCCGCCGCCCCCCGCTCCCGGCGCGACGCCCCCGCGGCGCTGCCCCAGCCATGAAGGCGGCGGTGGATCTGACCATCATCAAGACGGAGAAGGTGGACATCGAGCTCTTCCCGTCCCCCGGTGAGCGCCGTGTCCCCTCCGCGCCCCCCTCCGCGCAGCCCCGGCCCCTTCTCCCCGCGAAACCGGGAGAGCTTTGCCCGGGGGGAGAGGTTTGACCGCTGGGGTGCTCGGAGAGGTCGGTGTGGGGTTTTTTGGGGGTTTCTTTTGGAAGGGAACACTGAGCGCACCCCAAGTCGCGGCGCAGCGGCGCCGCCCGGGCTCTGCCCGCTGCCGAAGGCGAATTGACTGCGAGCGCTTTTATGACTTTCCATCCCTTTCCTTCTCTTAAAATCCACCCCGCCGCCCCTCCAGCCTCCTTCCATCACGCTCCTGGCATCCTTGCCGGGATGTAGGGAAGCCCGTCCGGCGGGGAGGCAGGAGAGATGCGCTCCCCAGGACTCCCCGCCTGTTCCCGTCCTCAGCCGGGATGTGCGCTCCCCCAGCCCTCGCTGCAGATGTCTTGTGTGGTCCAAGCACTCGTGCTGTTTGGGAAACACAACTCCAGCGGTAACTGTTCTGGGTTTAGCGCCTTAATCCAGGAAAACCCGCCGCCTTCATTTTATTTTCGCCCTTTTGGAGCTGGAGAAATATGCGGAGGGAGGGTGCAGAAGGCAACGCATTACTGAAGGGAGCGAGAAGGGTTTTTTTGTGTGTTGTAGCGGCGAGTTCAGCTGCTGCTGGCTGTGGTTACTGCTCCGAGCCGAGCCCTGACTAGAATAAGGGCTGCTGTTCACACACTGGTGGCGTCCGCCTGCTCGCTGACCCAGGGCGCTCAACTCCGCTCTGCCCTGCCCAGGCGAGGTGGAGGATGAAACTTGGAGTGCCCGCAGGAAAAAAAACCAAAAACCAACAACCCTTTTTTCTGCATAAAACGAGCCCTGTTGCTTCATCTCTCCCTGCTGCAATTCCCACTGCCCAAACTGAAAGTTAGCTGGATTTTGTGTAGCACCGGTGTGGCGAAGAAAATCAAATTAAAGACTGAGTTGAACGTTTCCCTGCTGGTTAGGAAGTTTCTAGGAAAGCCAGAAGGGAGGCACAGCTCTTGCAGACACTGGGATTTTGGGCTGCATGTGGAAATAAAATGACAGCTGAGTGCTGGAGCCACACAGGGGTTGGTGCTTAGCCTTCAGTAGATGCTGGTGCAGCATCAGCTGGGCTGCAGAGATGGTGCTGCCTGGGCATCAGCCATCCATGGGCTACGGAGTGTCCAGTGCAGGAGAGTCTCCCTTGGCATCCCTTCTCCCACCCTCCCTGGCTGCAGGCAGCCCGCTGAGCTGCTCAGAGCCTGTCGTGCTCCCTGCCCCGGCAGCAGGGCTGAGCCCGGCTCCCAGGTGTGGGATGGGGAGCACCAGGCTTCAAAATGCCCCAGGGATGCTGAGGATGCACCTACACGGCTGAAAGGAGAGGCTGGAGTGGAGCTGAGGAGCTGTTTGTGCCTATTTCCTAAAACTTTGGTGAACACTCATTCCTGCCCTTCAGCCTCTGAGGGCAGCCTGTTTGCTTGGAGGGGAGGAGAATGGGATAGGAATAAACACCTGGACCATCAGGGATAGGCTTTGCTTTTCACTCCAGAGTATCTGTTTAAATCTGCACTCTCCTGGCGTGGGTGAGAGCTCCCACGGAGGATCTGGGTGCCTGAACCCTGGAGCAGTGGAATTCCCTGGTGCCTGAAGAGAGGACTCAGAGTTTCCCCCTGCCTTAAGTTCATTTTCTTCTGTCCCTGAAAGCTCTTCTGCAGCTGATGTCAGCAAACAGTTCTTAGAGCTGACCCAAAATTTAAACTTGGGCAGGAAGAGAGCTGAAAAACACCAACCCAAGAGGTAGAAAAGAGCTGCCACCCCATCAGCCTCAGCTGCAGCCGCTCCTGTGCTGGTGGCTGTGCTCGCTGGGAGCCACAAAGGTCAGTGCTGTCAATTAGCTGGCTTAACCTCATTTCCCCTCCAACTCGGAGAGAACACTGCAGCTTTCTGGTTTGGTGGGATTGATGGTGAGGGAAGGAGTGTGGATGCTCCTGGGTTGTGTTCCTGGGATCCAGCCGTGCCGCGGGGAGGGAACATCACTTCTCTCTGCTCCTGGAGGGCTCATCTGCTCCTGATGGCTCCTTCAGCCCTGAATCTCACACAAATGTCCCCACTGTCCTTAACTCCAAAATGGGCTGAGAACTCCAGCCCCTTTTCTCAAAGCAGCCGTGGCAGATGTCGTCCATGGGGTTAACCTTGGGCAGGGTCCCTGCAGCCAGAGGATTTCAGTTATGCAGGATGTTTGATGTGCCAGGTGCCTGATGCCCCATCAGTCTGTGCCTCTGTCCCCTCTCACCCCCCAAACCAAACCCTGCTGCACCCCACACCTCTCCCTGCAAAACTCTGGGGAGATTTGTGGTGTGTCCAAAGGGTTTAAAAATAAGCTGGAAGGGATGTGGAGTTGTAGAAAGCTTCCGAAGCCAAATCCACCCCCTCCACCCCCACTATTACCAGGGGGAATGTGTGAGTGAGATGAGCAGGTCAGAGCCCCATGGGGGTGGCTTCTCCTTCAAGATGCAATTCTGTGTGATATTTTTATGAGGATGTGATAGAGAGGGTGGTAACATCACTTGTGGTTGTACATACATGGCTGATCCACCAGTGGTTGGCGGGACATTTTCTGAAACAGTAAAACCCCAAACCATGTAAAATACAACCCCAAGGGGAACTTCACCTGGGGGTTGGTGAATGCTGCCCTCCACAAACCACTTTGTTCCCTGCAGCTCTGCCAAGCTGCATTTGCTGCCTGTGGGCAGAGTGGGAAGCAGCTCCCCAGCCCTTGCTGGAACTGGGGCTCCCAAGTGCTCATTTCTTGCTCAGGAAGCTGCGGATTTGCCACCCCCGAGGTACCAGAGCTGTAATCCCAGATGTGGTTCCTGGGTATCCCAGGTGGAGCAGGGATGCTGAGCTCCCCGTCCCGCATCCAGTTCCTTTTGCCTCCTTTCCCTGGAGGTGTGTTACGGAGCAGGGGTGAGTTTGTTCCTGGAAAAAGGATTTGCTCTGTGCACACACAGCACAAAAATCCGGGCTTTTTGGCTCTTCCCATGCCTACCCTGAGGACAGCTGGGACATGGACACGTTGTTTCCATTGGCCTGTGCGTGGGTGGCATCCCAGGGGTGTGTTTTTATCTGGCAAGAGCCTTTCCCTCTGTTTAGGATTTGGGACAAACATCACTTAGGGCTGAAGTAAGATTTTCCCTTCCAACCCAAACGTCTGTAAGATTCTGGTTCTCCTGCTGTGGTGGTGCAGGGTGCAGGGAAGCTCCTACACAGCTTCCCTGCAGCTTTTGGATGTAGGACCTGCCTGAATTGTGCTTCTCCCCCTTCCCACAGCCAGGGCAGGTTTTGCTTTCACTTTCAGCACAAACAAGGGAGTTCGCATTAAAGCGAGCCTGGCAAATGCAGAGCTCCTCCACAGGGCCTCGCCGTGGGCAAGTGGCAGAGAAAATCCTTCTTTAGGTTTTAGGAGGGGACCCTTCATTCTGTCCTCTACCTTGTCTAGGGAGGCCAGGTTTGCCATCCCTGGCTCCCAGGTATTCACGGAACGGGCTCCCAGCCGGATCAGTGCGGCCAGAGGGGGACAGTTTGCTGAGCTGGTCGTGGTAAAAGTGCTCAGAGACTTGGGACATTATTCTCATCCAAAAAGAAAGGTTTGATCCTGCATTATCCTCGCAGGGCTGAGCCCTCCAGCTGTGTAAGCTGCTGTGTGACTCAGTTTCCCTGCTGCTGACAGGCGCTGGCTCCTGCATGGCCAGGTTTTCTTTCCCCGCAGGATAAAACACAGCAGAGAACCCCAGCATCTCCCTCCCTGCTCTGGCAGCTTCTCTGTGCCCCCCTCTGCCTCAGTGGCACCGGGAGAGCGCTCACCTCTCCTCCCAGGAACACCCAGGGTGCCAGAGCCTGGCGAAGGGAAAGCACTCATTGATGTTTCCAGGGATGCAGGGAACTGCACCAGGATCTTTTGGAATGCTTTGCTCGGCAGGGCAGCCGAGGTGAGAGCTGGGCTCGGCTGGGGATGCTCTGTGTGGGCTGGAATGATCAGCAGCGAGGCTGAGGCTCAGAAATGGAGAGCTTGGGGCTGCTCTCGCATTTTCGGTGCTGATTGTCTGCGGAGGAGGTGAGAACTCAGCTGAAGAAGAGCAATTACCTCTGTATGTGCTGACAAAATGCCCATTACTGTGGTATCCAGCCGGGATGCGGGAATGAGAGGTTCCCAGGAGGGGGGACTGGCTGCACTTGGCTGCCACCAGCTTCAGCTTTTTTAGTGTCGGCTTCTCACCAAAGCTCAGAAAAGGGGTGGAAAGAGGGCAGCTCGTGGAGCTGTCCTTCAGGGATCCTCCCACCAAAGAGTATCCCTGGTTTTTAACCTGGGTACAGGGAGAGAGATTTCCAGGGAGCAGGAGCAAACCCCCTGCTTCACGTCTCCATCCCGAACGCCCCAAAGCACGCACCAAGCGTGTAATTACAGTGTCCTTACATGAAGTGGCCCCTAATTTGCCATGTAATTACAGCGTGCCATGCTTTGATGGGCCTTGCAGAATGCAGGGATAACACAGGCTCACGCTGGAATGCTGCACTCCAGCTCTCCCAAGCGAGCTGCTGAGACATCCTGAGACTTCCTGCGCTCCCAAATCCAGAGCAGATTGCTGGCAGCGAGTGGCTGTGACTCCAGCAGACAGTGGCACGCTGAGCTTTGCCATGGGATTATCACAGAATCCCAGAATGGTTTGGGTTGGAATCCTCAATCCCATCATTCCTCCCACGAGCCCAGGTGGCTCCAAGCCCTGTCCAGCCTGGCCTTGGATACATCCAGGGATGGGGCAGCCCCAGCTTCTCTGGGAGCCAGCTCTGGATTTGCTGCTGTGGAAGTGCAGTGTCTGCACCCTCTGGATGCTGTGTGAGGAGCTGGGGGCAGCTGGATCAGGTTCAGAGTGCAGAGGTTGTTCCATAGATTAAACCCTTAGCTGGCTGTAAAACCATGCCAGAGATGTGAACTGGCTC